AATGCAAATAAACCCTTCTCACAAAATGACCAAACAGTATTTCATGTTTAATGTCATCTTAAAAGCATGAATACCCATGAATAAGAAAGACTTATTAGCAACGTTAATGGAGTTGGAGGGTCTATATACTTCATTTTTAATTTAAAGGCTTAAATGCTATTTTAGGGTAAGTTTGGAAGCTTAAAAAGTGTTTTTACTTTTTTTTAAAATTAAAGTTTTAACCTACATTTAAAAGTTAAAATTTTAATTTAAAATTTAAAGAAATTACTCTATTAAATATTAATATTTAAATTTAAAAATTAATTATATTAAAATATATCATTAGTTTTTAAATTTAAATATTAATATTTAAAAAATAAATTTGTAAATTTGTAAATTATATTTTAATAAAATAAAATAAAATAATTTAAAATTTTAATTTTAATTTATTTTAAAAATTAAAAATAATATGTATTTTTCTCAAACAATATTATATTTAGAGTCTGCAATCAATTAGAAGGAGTAGGCAATCCACTGGAAGATCATTTTTGGATAAGCATCATATTACCAGTAGGTACTGCAATCAATTTTATCCACGAAATCCGAATAAAGTGTCATTTTCAACAATGAAATTATATGCACCACTAAGGACACTCATTATGTCAGGACTATCGATTAAATCTAATTTTTGGAGATAAATTGAAGTAGAACACTTGGATGCAATCCTCAGGAGGAGCCATAAGTTTGACATGACCAAGACGGAATAACAGGGGATAAAACATTTGGGCAGATTGAAAAAAAAAAAAAAAAAAAGTGCCTGATACACTACACAAGCCCAGCAGAGCAGACATTCCTTAAGTACTATACAAAGTTCAAAAGGAAATTTTCCGCAATTTTATATGTTTTCAACCGCTCCTGAAGGACCCAAGTGCTTTTATAGCCGCTGCTCTCAAGACGAACTGGTAATAGAAGGCGGCGATGGCGGCTCCGATGAAGGGTCCAACCCAGAAGATCCACTGAAACAATTTGGACAAAACATAGTGTATATGTTGCATTAGAACATATATAATAACAAAGAGAATTGCTTTTTTTTTTTTTTTTTTTAAACAGGGGAATGATGGGGGGATTTTATATCTAGACTTTTAAAATTTGAGAGCGAATTATTAAACGCAAAACTCTAGTTCAATAACAAAGAGAATTGATTATTCATAATAGACGTTTTTTTAATTGAAATCTATCGTCTATTGTTATGAGAAGCAGGAGGAGTATGATCAACATGTATGTAAGGGTTAAGTGTATACTTGGTCATCCCAGGCCTTGTCCTGATTGAAGATCACTGCAGCTCCGAAGCTCCGAGCAGGGTTGATGCCGGTGCCGGTGATCGGGATGGTGGCCAAGTGGACCATGAACACAGCGAACCCAATTGGAAGTGGAGCCAAAACCTTTGAATAACAAATTAAAACAATCAGTAACTTGTAGAAAAAGAAAAAAAGCAGAGCGATGAAATAGGGGATTTTGATTATTAATGAGTACGTACAGGGACATGGGAGTCTCTGGCGTTCCTTTTGGGATCGGTGGCGGAGAAGACGGTGTAGACAAGAACAAAGGTTCCGATTATCTCAGCGCCGAGTCCGGTGCCCTTGCTGTACCCGTCATTGAGCCCGTTGGCACCACCACCGTACTTAGTATAGTAAGACTTTTGGAAAGCCTTGACGAGCCCACATCCACAGATGGCTCCCAAGCACTGAGCCACCATGTACAGAATGGCTCGGATCAGCGACACCTTCCTCGCCAGGAACAACCCAAAAGTGACCGCTGGGTTTATGTGACCCCCTGCAAAATTCACCCCCAAAAAAGAATTGGAAAATTGCCCACACACTCAAACCGGACCCGGAAAATTCTTGACATCAAAGGGAGAGGAAAACTGACCTGAGATTCCGGCGGTGCAGTAAACGAGGATGAAGATCATACCACCAAAAGCCCATGCGATTCCCAAAATACCCACACCGGTGCACTGATCATCGCTGATGTCGACCTGGCTCTTGTACCCAATAACCGTCAGAACGGTGATGTAGAGGAACAAGAGGGTAGCAATAAACTCGGCAATTATGGCTCTGTAGAAAGACCATTTGGCAAACTCCTCAGCGTCGATCAACGGGGCAGGAGGCGGGTCGTGGTAGTCCTTGGTTTGAAATTCACCAGCAACCTCAACGTCCTTGCCCATGGCGATCTAGTGAGATCGGGAAGTTATGACCGGAGACTGGAGAAGAAGATCGGAGAAGCTCTGATGATGATGATGATGGTGAGAGGGGTAGGGGGAAAGTGTGGGGGTTTATATCAGGGAGTAAAGGGAGAAGAGTAAGTGATATACTAACTTAGCTTTGCCGCCCCATTGCACTGTTTATGTTTCCTTTCATTTTCCTTGGACCCACCTGAGTGAGCTGGTGTACTAGGAAATTATTTTTCGCTCTTGAACGTTGGGTGGAATTCCAACCTCCGAAACTTTACATAAGCAATTTTTTTACAACCGGCACCAACAACCTTTTGTTCGGAGGGTAAGAAACTGGATTTTTCTGTTTCGAATTTGGGTAGTGTGGATAGAAAAATAAGAGTTGGGGAGTTTTTTTTCTCTTAATAAAATTTAATGGAATTTGATTTTAAATTAATTAAAATTTAATATAATTATAAAATGCGAAGAATTTAATATCAAAAATTTTTGACAGCCGACATAAATGAATGGTTAAGAATTAATACACTTGCCCTTAATTTAAGTTATTAAAAATTTTAATTTAAGGCCAATGTTAAATTTTTAAATCTTTATATTATTAAATAATTAATTTTGTGATATATATATAACTCAATTTAAGTTGTCCTTAAATTGTACTTAAACACTTGAACTAACAACTAGTCTGTTGAATCTACTCCGTCTGCAGACTCCATTCCAAAATAAGTTTTCTTTTTCACTATATATTAACAATTTGTAGATTATTTATATTTTTTATAACAAAATGAAGATAAAGAGAAAATTTGACTATTAGAGTGAATAATTAAACTTAAAAGGGATCATTGACGTGATTAAAGTAAAAAAAAATTATTTACTTTTAAAAATAAAAAATAATAATTAATTTAAAATAAATGTTAAATCAAGAAATGACAATTATTTGGACATAGAGAATACAATGATTAGGTGTTTGATTTAGGTAAACTTTTTGATAGATTTTTGTGTTTTCATATAGACAATGTAGAGCATACTTTTTAAAAGCTTGTTAATTAGATAAGAAGTTTAAGTAACAAGTATATTAACTTTTTTGGAAAAAAAAATATATATTAACTTGTTTATGAACACCAAAAATGTAATTTCAATGAATAGAAAGATCATTAATAAACGTTTAGAAGCACCAACCAAGGCTTGTGATTTACCCAAAAAAAAAAAATACAACAACCAGGACTCGTGACTCTTCAATATTTTAAGTGCTTCTTCCACTACTTAGAGTTCATCATTATGACAAAAGTTATAATGGTTGGAAAATGTAATGGATTACTCACCCTTAATTAGAGCATTAGGTTGATTAGACTAATTAATAAAAATAAAAATTTATTAATAATTTTAAAAAATTAGCGATACCTTTTTTATAAAAATAAAAAATTTTAATTTAAATAGTATTACATGAAAGTAAAAAAATAATAAAATAATAAAATAATTATTTTTTATTTTAAAATTTAAAAACATAATAATAATAATAGTTTAGAATGGTGAATTCGAAACATTAATAAATGTCGTGCAAAACAATTCTGTTTCTAATTTATAAGAGGAAAAATTAAATAAACTGAGAAAACGATGTCGTATTAAAGGACAACAGCTGGGGAAATATGCGTCGTGTGCTAAGTTACAATCCATATAAGTGGCTGGTAAATGGACACGTGTTATTAAATGATGGTTCCTCCTCCGCTACTGTAAATTGTACGTCAATTATTATTATATTAAATATATTTTTTTATTATAAATTTATATTAAAAATAAAAATTAATATTAAATTTAATTAAATATTTAATTAAATTTATCAATATAAAATTAATATTAAAATTTATAATTTTTATATATATTTAGAATAAAAAAAATATTTTGTACCCAAAAGGTAAAAATTTTTAATTATTATTACTGCATGTAGTTCACAAGAGTAATGTAAATGTGTACCGTGGGCGGTGCGCCCTCAGACGTGGGATTTGGGAGGGTGTGACGAGCCGACAAAACACTGTTCCTGTCACACCACCACCGCCCATCCCGACAAACTTCCAACTCCACCCACCGCCGTTGATCACCTAATCCACCAGATTCCCGCCACGTGTTGTTATTCCTACAGCTACCATCAATCATTGGTTTTTGGTCCTTAATAAACGCTAGGGCTTATCTATAATCAGCATCAATGTCCCACCAATAATTCAGGAGGTAACTCTAGTACTGAATTCTCCTGGCTCAGGACTTGCCACGTATTAATATTATTATTAAAAAATAAATTTTAATATTTATTTATTTATTTAATATAATATATTTAGTATTATAATAAAATTAATTTTTATTTTTATTTTTTATACTAATTAATATTAAAAAAATATTAATTATATTCTCAGCATATA